CCTGGAATTCCATGGGGAAACGCTGGGAAAATGGCAGGAATTCCATTGGAAAATGGTGGGGAAACACTGGGAATTCCGTGGGAAAATGGCAGGAATTCCCTGGGAAAACACCAGGAATTCACTGGAAAACAGTGGAGAAGCAGCGGGGAGATACCGGAGAAAGGGTGGGGGAACACTGGAATTCCATGGGGAAACTGCAGGGAAATACCTGGGAATGGCAAGGAAACACTGGGAATTCACTGCGAAAACGGCAGGGAAGGAGAAGGGAAGATTTGGGTGGGAATTCCTCAATTCGGGTGTGAATTCCCCGATTTCGATTGGGAGTTCCCCAATTGCGGGTGTGAATTCCTGACCCCCGTTGTGCGTTCCCGTCCCCCTGCGGCATTCCAGGTTCAAGGAGCACGTCCTGCAGCACCCGCCCGGGGCCATCCTGTCCCCCGAGGAGCTGCTCTGGGTGCGCTCCAAGCTCGGCCCCGGCCCCGCGCCCGCCCCGGAGCCGCCGCCGGAGCCCGAGCGGCCCCCGGGACCCCCGCGGGGAGGAGGAGGAGGAGGAGCCGCGCTCCGGGGCCCCGCCCGAGCCGCAGGTAACCGTCTCAAAACCACCGGGAATTGAGCTTGAAAAACCGGGAATTGCGCTTTTCTTGCCGGTTTATGGGGGTCAGAAATCGGGATATTAAAAAAAAAAAGACCCGGTAATTCCGCTTTTTCTGCGGGTTTGGGGGGGAGGTTAGAAATCGGGATGTTCCCAAAAAACTGGGAATTTTGCTTTTTCTGCGGATTTGTGGGGTTAAAAACTGGGATATTCCCAAAAAAAAAAAAAAACGGGAATCCACTTTTTTCTGCAGATTTAGGGGGGTTAAAAATTGGGATATTCCCCAAAAAAAGGGGAATTCTGCTTGTCCTGCCAGCCTGGGGGGGGGTTAAATCTGGGATATTCCAAAGAAACCAGGAATTTTAGTGGATTTATTTATTGTTATTTGGATTTATTTAGTGCTTCATCTTATTTATTTTGTAAAATTAATCACCAATAATAAATGGTTGTATTTATTAATTAATAATTAATTATTAATAATTAATTATTAATATTTCCAGGAGGATCTGGACCAGGAGAAGATCCGGGAGCTGGTGATCTCCATGAGGCAGCAGATTTATGCCCAGAACGAAGCTGAAGTCAGCAAGCGCTGGAACTTCGAGGATGGGGTGGGTGCAGGGCTGGAATCCTCTGGAATTGTCCTGGAATTGTCCTGGAATCTTCTGGAATTCCCCTGGAAATCCCTTGGAATTCCCTCAGGATCCCCCCCTGCAAAATCCCTCCTGGAATTCCCCAGGAACCCTCCCCAGATCCTCTGGAATTCTCCCTGGACCTCCCCAAGAATTTCCCCCATAAAATCCCCCAAATCCCCCGGAATCCCCAAATCTTCCCAAAACGCCCTCAAATCCCCCCAAAATCCCCAAATCCTCCATTCTGGGCAGATCAAGAAGTCCTATTTCAACGTGAAGCCCAAATCACCCAAAATTTCCCAAAATCTCCCCCAAACCCCCAAATCCTCCCCGACATCCCCCCAGATCACCCCGAAATCTCCTGGAAATCCCCCAAATCCTCCCCAAATCCCTCTGAAGTCTGCCCTGAAATCCCCCCAAATCATCCCCAGATCTCTTGGAAATTCCCCAAAATCTCAACCCCCCAATTCCGTGCAGCTCAAGCGTCCCTATTTCCACATGAAGCCCAAAACCTCCCGGAATGCCCCCAAATCCCCCTGAAATCCCCCAAATCCTCCCCAAATCCCCCTGAAATCCCCCAAATCCTCCCCAAAATCCCCCAAAACCTCTCAAAAATCTCCCAATCCCCATTCCTGGCAGATCAAGCGTCCGTATTTCCACGTGAAGCCGCTGGAGCGGGCGCAGCTGCGGAACTGGCGCGAGTACCTGGACTTCGAGGTGGCCGCGGGCTCGCACGAGCGCAGCATCGTCCTGGTTCGAGCGCTGCCTCATCGCCTGCGCCCTCTACGAGGAGTTCTGGGTCAAGGTGGGCACCAGAATCCACGCTGCTCTGACCCCAAAAATCCCATGCTTTTATCCCCAAAAATTCCCAGTGCACGTAAACCCAAAATCCCTGGTTCTGCCCCCAAAAATTCACACTGCTCTGACCCCAAAATCCCTGCTTTTATCCCCAAAAATTCACACTGCTCTGACCCCAAAATCCCTGCTTTTATCCCCAAGAAATCCCCACTGTTCCTGCCTCAAAATTCCTGGTTCTGGCCCCAAAAATTCACAGTGCTCCTGGCCCCAAAATCCCGGTTCTCACCCAAAAATTCACAATAGTCCTGGCCCTAAAATCCCCAGTTCTGCCCCCAAAAATTCACCATGCTCTGACCCCAAACTACCCCAAAAAATTCACCATGCTCCTGGCCCCAAAATTCCCAGTTCTGCCCGCAAAATTCACAGTACACCTAAACCCAAAATCCCCGGTTCTGCCCCCAAAAATCCCCACTGCTCCTGCCCCAAAATCCCGGTTCTGCCCCCAAAAATCCCCACTGCTCCTGGTCCCAAAATCCCCAGTTCTGCCCCCAAAATTCACAGTGCTCTGACCCCAAAATCCCCGGTTTTATCCCAAAAAATCCCACTGTGTCTGCCTCAAAATTCCCGGTTCTGGCTCCAAACATTCACCATGCTCTGACCCCAAACTACCCCCCAAAAAATCCCCTCTGCTCCTGAACCCAAAATTACCCAGTTCTGCCCCAAAAATTCACCATGCTCCTGGCCTCAAAATCCCCAGTTCTGCCCCCAAAAATTCACCATGCTCCAGCCCCAAAATCCCCGGTTCTGCCCCCAAAATTCTCACTGCTCCTGGCCCCAAAATCCCCAGTTATTCCTTCATTATTCCCGTTACTCCACCATTTTCCCCCATTATTTCCCTCATTATTTCCCTGTTTTTCCCCCATTATTTCCCTCATTATTTCCCCTTTTTTTCCCCATTATTTCCCTCATTATTTCCCTGTTTTTCCTCATTATTTCCCTGGTTCTCCCCCATTATTCCCTCATTATTCCCTCATTATTTCCCTCATTATTTCCCTGTTTTTCCCCCATTATTTCCCTCATTATTTCCCTGTTTTTCCCTCATTATTTCCCTGTTGTTCCCCATTTCCCCCCGCAGTACACGCGGGTACCTGAGTCGCGCACGGTGCCGGGCGCCCGCAGCGTTTTCCAGCGCGCCTGCGGCTTCCACCTGCCCCGCAAGCCCAACATCCACCTGCTCTGGGCCGCCTTCGAGGAGAAGCAAGGTCAGGGAGCCCCCAAACCGGGGGAGCCCCAAAACCCGGGGCTGCTCTGGGGGTCACCGGCACCGGGGCTTGGTCCCACAACGCTCCGAGTTGGGGTCGGGCTGAAATTTCACCCCAAAGTCACTCAGAGACCTCTGAAATCAATGTGGGAGCCCCAAAACTGCCCTAAAGGTGTCCTGGGCACCCCATAACTCACCCTGAGCACCCCATAACCCAAACTGGGCACCCCATAACCACCCTGGGTACCCCATAACTCACCCTGGGTACCCCATAACCACCCTGGATACCCCAAAACCCAAACTGGGCACCCCATAACCCCATCCTGGGTACCCCAATAACCCTCCAAGGACACCCCTGATCACTTCTTGTCCATCCCTGATCACTTTTTGTCCCGTTTTTTCCAATCCCAGGGAATGTGGATGAGGTCCAGCACATCCTGCGCAGTTTTGAGGCTGCTGTTCCCAGGGCTGGGACCCCAATAACCCCATTTGTCCCATTCCCAGAGCCCCAATAACCCAAATTTCCCCATTCCCAGGAACCCAATAACCCAAATTTTCCCTGTTTTTTCCCCATTTTTCCCCTCCCCAGGCAATGTTGATGAGGTCTCGGTGCATCCTACACAGTTTCAAGGTGTCTGTGCCCGAGTTGGGAACCCTCTATGGCCCCCCATAACTGCTCAGGCACCCCCAATAACCCCATTTTTAACCCCAATTTCCCCCATTTTTAACCCCATTTTTTACCCCATTTTACCCGATTTTCAGGCATGTGGACGAGGCCAGGCGCATCCTGCGCAGTTCGAGGCCGCTGTCCCCGGCCTGGCCATGGTGCGGCTGCGCCACGTGGCCCTGGAGCGCCGGCACGGGCTGGCTGTGACCCCGATAACCCCATTTTTACTCCATTTTTACCCCATTTTACCCAATTTAACCCAATTTTACCCCATTTCCAGGCAACGTTGACGAGGCCAGGCGCATCCTACGCAGCTTTGAAGCCACAGTCCCTGGCCTGGCCATGGTGCGGCTGCGCCGCGTGGCCCTGGAGCGCCGGCACGGGCGCGTGGCCGAGGCCGAGGCGCTGCTGCTCGAGGCCATGAGGGCCAACGAGGGGCTGCCCCTGGGCTCCTTCTACGCCGTCAAGCTGGCCCGGCAGGTGTGCAAGGTGCAGACGAACCTGGGCAAGGCCAGGAAGGTGCTCGTGGAGGCCCTCGAGAAGGGACCCCGGTGAGACGGGAGGGGTTAAATTTCTTTAAAAATCATAGAAAAGTCATATAATGGTAATATAATATGTATTAGTAAGGCTGGGTTTAAAGTTATTTAAAATCGTAGAAAAATGAAAAGTCATAAGAAAAATGATATAAAATAATATTAATATAATATAATATAATATAATATAATACAATATAATATAATATAATATTATATTATATTAATTATATTATATTGTATTATATTATATTATATTATATTGTATTATATTATATTATATTATATTATATTATATTATATTACATACATATATTACATTGTTTTATCTTCAGTTACATTATATTATATCATATTATGTTACATTACATTACATTACACTACATTATATTACATTACATTACATTATAGTATATTATGGTAATATCATAGATATTAGTAATGGTGGGCTTAAAGGTGTCTAAAAATCATAGAAAAGCAATATAATTGTGTTATTGCTAGGCTTAAATTTATTAAAAACAAAATAAAAATAATAGTTATTATTATGTTATTATGCTATATTATACTAATATTATATATTTACTCTGTTTACATAATAAATATAATTTTGTTATATAAATAGATATAATAAATAAGTAATTGCAATAATTATTATTAATATTGTAATTATGTAATTATATTACATTTATTTTAACCTATTTTTCAATGATAAAGTATTTAAATGAATGTTAATTTGCAAGAACACCCGTCTGCACGCCAAACCTGCTGGAGTGGAGTTTGTGATATTAATTATAATTAATATTGTAATTATTTAGTTATATTACATTTATTTTAACCAATATTTAGGTGTTTTAATGAAATGTTTAATTAAAAGGACAATGCCTGGCTGCACGCCAACCTGCTGGAGATGGAGTTTGCGATATTAATTATAACTAATATAATAATTATTTAATTATATTACATTTATTTTAGCCGATATTTCAATGAATGTTTAATTAAAAGGAGAACGCCCGGCTGCGTGCCAACCTGCTGGAGATGGAGTTTGCGATATTAATTATAATTAACACTGTAATTATTTAGTTATATTACATTATTTTAACCAATATTTGTTTAAATTAAACATTTAATTAAAAGGAGAACGTCCGTCTGCACACCAACCTGCTGGAGATGGAGTTTGCGATATTCATTATAATGAATACAGTAATTATTTAATTGTATTCAATTTATTTTAACCAGTATTTGTTTAAATTAAACATTTAATTAAAAGGAGAACGCCTAGCTGCACGCCAACCTGCTGAAGATGGCGTTTGCGATATTAATTATTATTAATATTGTAATTATTTAGTTATATTACATTTATTGTAACCAATATTTAAGTGTTTAAATTAAACATTTAATTAAAAGGACAATGCCCATCTGCACGCCAACCTGCTGGAGATGGCGTTTGCGATATTAATTATTGTTAATATTGTAATTATTTAGTTATATTACATTTATTTTAACCAATATTTAGGTGTTTAAATTAAACATTTATTTACAAGGAGAATGCCCGGCTGCACGCCAACCTGCTGGAGATGGAGTTTGCGATATTAATTACAATGAATACAATAATTATTTAATTGTATTACATTTATTTTAACTGATATTTCAATGAATATTTAATTAAAAGGAGAACGCCCGGCTGCGCGCCAACCTGCTGGAGATGGAGTTTGCGATATTCATTATAATGAATACAGTAATTATTTAATTGTATTACATTTATTTTAACTGATATTTCAATGAATGTTTAATTAAAAGGAGAACGCCCGGCTGCACGCCAACCTGCTGGAGATGGAGTTCGGGGCGGACGTGGGGCAGAACGAGCTGAACACCATCAGCTGCTTCGAGCGCGCCCTGCGCAGCCCCCTGCCCCACGAGGCCAAGCTGCTCTTCTCGCAGCGCCGCGTCGAGTTCCTCGAGGACTTCGGCTCCAGCATCCACAGGTGGGGAATGGGGCTGGGGGGTCCTGGGGGTGGGAAATGGGGCTGGGGGAGGTCCTGGGGGTGGGAAATGGGGCTGGGGGAGACCTGAAATGGGGCTGGGAAATGGGGCTGGGGGATCCTAGGGCTGGGAAATGGGGCTGGGGGAGGGTCCTGGGGGATTTGAAATGGGGCTGGGGGAGACCCGAAATGGGGATGGGAAATGGGGCTGGGGGAGCCCTGAAATGGGGCTGGGGGAAACTGGGAACCTGAAATGGGGCTGGGGGGGCCGGGGAAAACTGGGAACCTGAAATGGGGCTGGGGGAGACCTGAAATGGGGCTGGGGAAAACTGGGAACCTGAAATGGGGCTGGGGGAGACCTGAAATGGGGCTGGGAAATGGAGCTGGGGGGATCCCCCTTAGGGATGGGAAATGGGGCTGGGGGAACCCTGAAATGGGGCTGGGGGAGGTCCTGGGACAGGGAAATGGGGATGGGAAATGGGGCTGGGGAAACCACATGGGAAATGGGGCTGGGGGAGGTCCTGGAATCCTGAAATGAGGCTGGGGGAAATTGGGAACCTGAAATGGGGCTGGGGGAGGCACTGGGGCAGGGAAATGGGGATGGGGGAACCCTGAAATGGGGCTGGGGGAGTCCCTGGGGCAGGGAAGTGGGTCTGGGGGCTCTGCATGGGATCCCCAAATGGGTCTGGGGGCTCCCAGCTCCTCCCCAGCCTGCTCAATATAAACCATCCTGGGGGGGACATGAAAAGGGCCTGGGAGCTCCCCCTGGGACCCCAGAACGGGTCTGGGGGCTCCCCCCTGAGCGCTGCCCCCTCCCCAGCCTGCTCAAGGACAGAACAGCCTGGGGGGACCCCAAAATGGGTCTGGGGGCTCCCCCCTGAGCGCTGCCCCCTCCCCAGCCTGCTCAAGGCCTACGATGAGCACCAGAAGATCCTGAAGGCGCACGCGGCCCGGAAACGGGCGCCCGAGAATGGGTGAGACCCCGGGACCCCTAAAATTACCCCAAAATGAGCCCAAAATTGGCCAAAATCAGCCTCAAAATGGCCACAAAATCAGCCCCAAATCGGCCCCAAAATGCAACCAAAATCAGCCCCCAAATCAACCCCAAAATGGTCCCAAAATCAGCCCCAAATGGCCCCAGAATCAGCCCAAAATTGGCCCCAAATCAGACCAAAGTCAGCCCTAAATCAGCTCCAAGTCATCCTCAAATTGGCCTCAAATCAGCCCTAAAATGGGCCCCAAATTGGCTCTAAAATCAACCCCCGAATTGGGCCACAAAATAGGCCCCAAAATGGCCCCAAAATCACCCATACATTGGCCCCAAAATCAGCCCCAAATCGGCCCCAAAAATAACCCCAAAATGGCCTCAAAATCAGTCATAAATCGGCCCTAAAATCAGCCCCAGGTCAGCCCCAAAATTGGTTCTAAATCGGCCCCAAATCAACCCCAACATGGCCTCAAAATGGGCCCAAAATTGGCCCGAAATTGGCCTCAAAATCGGCCCCAAAATCGGCCCCAAAATGAGTCCTAATTCAGCCCCAAAATGGCCCCAAAATCACCCATAAATCGACCCCTAAATTGGCCCCAAAATCAGCCCAAAATTTCCCCCAAATTTTCTCCTTTTTCTCCCCAATTTTCCCCCCAAATTTTCTCTTTTCTCCCCCATATTTCCCCCTGCATTTCCCCCTAAATTTCCTCCTTTTCTCCCCAATATTCCCCCTAAATTTTCCCCATTTTCCCCCCAGCTCAGAAGAGCCCGAGGACAAGCGGCTCCGTCCCGACGACCCCTCGGGGCTCCTGGGACCCCAAAACTTCTCCGGAGGGGGAGACCCCAACCCCTCCTACAACTACTGGTACCAGGTGGGTGAATTTGGGGCATTTTGGGGTCTCCAGGCTGATCCCCCTCCCCATTTAACCCTTCCCTCCCCAGCAGGGCTACGGCACCTACGGCTACCAGAGCCCCTGGGGCTACGGCCACTACTACGGGCAGAGCTGAGGAGGGGGCTCGGCCCCCCTGGACAGACTGTGGGACCCCCACCCCAAAATTGGGGGGTTCAGCCCCCCCTGTACAGACTGTGGGACCCCCACCCCAAAATTTGGGGGGGGGGGCGTTGTAAATAAAGAGGCTGTGAGGAGTTACCCGAGGCATTTATTGGGGTTTGTGCTGTTTTGGGGGGGTTTTGGTTGATTTTTAGGGGTTTTTGTTTGATTTTTGGGGGTTTCTTCCATTTTTGGGGGGCTCCCAGCAGATTTTGGGGTACCCCAGGTGGATTTCACGGTTCCCTCCAATGATTTTGGGGTGGCCCAGGTGGATTTTGGGGTCCTTTCTGTGCATTTCAGGGTTTCCCAAAAGGATTTTGGGGTACCTCGATGTGGATTTTGGGATCCTTTCTGTGAATTTCAAGGTTTCCCAAAAGGATTTTGGGGTACCCCAGGTGGATTTCAGGGTTCCCCATAGGGATTTTGGGGTACCCAGGGTGGATTTTGGGGCAGCATTGTAAATAAAGAGGCTGTGAGGAGTTACCCGAGGCGTTTATTGGGGTTTGTGCTGTTTTGGGGGGGGGGTTGTTTGATTTTTAGGGGCTCCCAGGAGATTTTGGGGTACCCCAAGGAGGATTTTGGGGTGTCCTAGGTGGATTTCAGGACCCCAATATGGATTCTGAGGTACCTCCAACAGATCTTGGGGTTTGGAGCTGTGCACAGCAGATTCCAGGCAGATTTTGAGGTGCTCCAGGTGGATCTGAAGGTGCCCCAAATGGATTTTGAGGCGCCCCCAACAGATTTTGGGGTGCTTCAAGTGGTTTTGGAGATGCCCAGGCAGATCTGGAGGTGCCCCAAACGGGTTTTGGGGTGCTCCAGGTGGTTTTGGAGGTGCCCAGGTGGATCTGAAGGAGTCCCAAACAAATTTTGGGGTGCTCAGTTGATCTGGAGAGGTTCCAGGTGGATCTGGAGGTGCCCCAAACAGGTTTTGGGGTGCCCAGCTGGATTTAGAGGTGCCCCAAATGAATTTTGGGGAGCTCAGGTGGTTTTGGAGATGCCCAGGTAGATCTGGAGGTGCCCCAAACAGGTTTTGGGGTGCTCCAGGTGAATCTGGAGGCGCTCCCAGCAGAACTTTCACTGCCCAGGGTCCATTTCAAGCAGCTCCAGGTGTTCCCACAGCCGATCCCTCGCAGACTTCGGGGTCCCCTTGCAGATCTTTGACTCCCCCAAATCTTTGGGGGTCCTGGGGCAGATTTTGGGGGTCCCCAGCAGTTTGGGGCTCCCTAGAAGCCCTCTGGAGCAGCCATTGCCTCACCTGATCCCCCCAGTGCCCCCGCAGCCGCAGCGTCCCCGTCACCTCGTTCACCTGCGCCGCCACCTCGGGGACGCCCAGGGACCCCAGGAACGCCCCCAGGTCCCGCTGCAGCGCCTGGGGGGCAGGGGGGGGTCAGGGGGAGCCCCCCGAGCCCCCCGGAGCCCCCCCGAGCCCCCCACTCACCCAGATGTCGCCGTGGATGCGGCGCAGCTCCGTCAGGCGCCGGCCCTGGCGCTGCCCCTCGTACACGGGCAGGTTGTGCAGGCGGGAACGGCGCACCAAGTAGGGCAGCTCGGGGGGGGTCTGGGGAAGGGGCACCCCCAGGGGGGAATCAGCACCCCAAGGGGTAATTAACAGCCCCAAGGGGTAATTAACGCACCCCCGGAGTAATTGACACAACCCAGGAGAATCATACCCAGCCCACCCTTAAGTAAATTCTCTTCACTACTTCATTTGGAATTAGTAATTTCTCCTTCAAAGGAATATTTTGGGTTCTCCCGAGGGTAATTAGCACCCCCAAGTGGTAATTATACCCCCAGAATAATTAAGACCCCCCTGGAATAATTAACACCCCCCCTGAGGGAATTAACACACCTCCCATGGAATTGCACGCACTCCGTCCTGAAGTAAATTCTCTTCACTGCTTAGTTTGGAATTAATAATTTCTCCTTCAAGGAAATATTTTGGGTTCCCCCGAGGGTAATTGACACCCCCAAGGGGAAATTAAGACCCCCAAAGGGTAATTAACACCCCCCTGAGGGAATTAACGCCCTCCCGTGGGAATCGCGCCCACTCTGTCCTTAAGTAAATTCTTTTCACTACTTGATTTGGAATTAATAATTTCTCTCTCAGAGAAATATTTTAAGTTCCCCCAAAGGTAATTAGCACCCCCATGTGGTAATTAACACCCCCCAGGGGTAATTAACACTCCTCAGAGTAATTAATACCCCTGAAGGAATTCAACCCACCCCAGGGCAATTCAATCCAATTTGGGGTAAATAAATTCTCTTTGTTATTTGGGTTTGGATGAGCAATTCCCTCTTGAAGGGAATATTTTGGGGTCCCCCCCGAGGTAATTAACACTGCCCGGGGTAATTAACCCCCCCAAGGAATAATTAACACCCCCCAAGGAGTAATTAACACCCCCCGGGGTAATTAAACACCTCCCACAAGTCCTGAATCTCCTGCAGACTCTCAGAGTTAATAACTCATTAATTAACCCCATTTTGGTGTAAACCACCCCTCCCCCGGCACTAATTAACCCCCCCAGTGTTAATTACAGGGTGCCTGACCTTTGGGGGGGCTCCATCCGGACGGGGTGGGGTATTTGGGGTGCGGGGGGGGGTCGGGGATGCGGCTGGGGGCAGCAGGCGCTGCACGAACCCGAACTCGGCGTGGACTCCTCGTAGCGGGAGGGGTCTGTGGGGACCCCAAAAAATCCAAAAAATGTCTCAGAGACCCCCCAAAATCCTCAGAGACCCCCCAAAATCCCTCAAGAGACCCCCCCAAAATCCCAAAAAAATCCCTCAGAGACCCCCAAGATCCCCATTAATTCACCCCTAAACCCCCCCAAGTTTCCCCCTCCTTTTTCAAGAATCTCCCCAAAATCTCCCTGTCCAGGTCTCCCCCAATTTCTTCTCCCTCCCAAACCCCGCAATCCCCTCAGGATCCCTCCAATTCCCCTCCCTAAACCCCAAATCCCCTCAGGGATCCCCTAAACCCTTCACTCCAATTCCCCCCTCACAGATCCCCCCCTTTATCTGAGTCCCCCAAAAGAACCTCACACACTCCAAAACCCTTTCTCGCTACCTGCACCCCCCTGACCCCCCGGCCCAGCGCCCGCAGCCTCCGGCCCAGCGCCGCCATCGCCGCCATCTTGGCTCCTCCTTCTCCTCCTCCTTCCCGCCCTCGTACGTCATCACGCAGCGCGCACGTGCGTACGCGTGACGTCACCCGCGCTCTCTCCGCGCCGCGCTCCGAGCCCTGAGGGAGCCGCTGAGGTGGGGCCGGGCCCGGGGGGCTCGGAACGGGAATTTGGGGGGATTTGAGGGGTCTGGGCGTGACAGAGGGGTCCGGGAGAGGGTAAAGGAGGGGCTAAGGGGAGTTTGGGGGGCTCTGAGGGGGTTTGGGGTGAGGGGAGCGTTGTGGAGGGGTTCAGGGGGGTATTCGGGCGCTGGGAGGGGTTCGGGGGACGTTTGAGGGGGATCATGAGGGGGTTTGAGATGGGGGGGGCCGCTCTGGAGGGGTTCAGGAGGTGTTTTGTGGGGTTGGGGGTCTATTGGGGAGTCTGGGGGTGATTTTTGGGGAGCCCTGGGAGGGGTTCAGTTGAGGGCGGGTCTGAAGGGTTATTGGGGGGCCTGGAGGGGCTGGGGGGGTTTGGGGGGATTCTGAGAGTTTTGGTGGGATCTTGAGGGGGCTGCGAAGGTTTGGGGTGATGAGGATTATGGGGGCCCTTGAGGGGGTCGTTTGGGGCAGCTCTGAGGGTGGGGGCACCCAAGGGTGCTGCCAGTGGACCCCCAGTGTCCCCCCCCAGGCAGAGCCCTTTGTCCCCAGGGCCCCAGGCCAGGTTACAAAGTCCTGTGGGCGGGAGAGGGGAGGAAAACGCCCCCAGGAAAACGCCCCCAAAACTGCCCTGATCCCACCCAAAACAGCCAGAAATGCTCCAAAACTGCCGCAGTCCCATCCAAAACAGCCAGAAACACCCCAAAACTACCACAATGCCACTCAAAACAGCCCCAAATAACCCCCCAGTCACCCCCAAAAGACCACTCACCTCCCGAAAAACAACCATCTCTGCCCCTCTCTCTTTTCTTGGGGATCCCCCTTCCCTTCCAGGGGTTTCCCCCCATTTTTGGGCTGTGGGGACCCCCCCTAATCCCCCAATTTCGCCCCCCAGCCCCCACCATGCAGCTCTTCATCCGCGGCCAGACCCTCCTCACCCTCGAGCTCTCCGGCTCCGAGACCCTCGCCCAGATCAAGGTGAGAGCCCCCAAACTGGGGCTGTCCCCCCTCCCCAATCCCAGATTTTGGGGTGCTGACCCCCCCGTTTGTCCCCCTCCCCCAGGAGAGGGTGGCCGAGCTGTCGGGGATCCCCCCCGAGGACCAAGTGCTGCTCCACGCCGGGACCCCCCCTGGACGATGAGGCCGTGCTGGGGCAGAGCCCCCTCCCCGAATTCACCACCCTGGACCTCTCCACGCGCCTGCTGGGCGGTAATTAACGGGGGGGCCGCTAATTATTGGGGTGTTAATTAACAAAACAACCCCCCAACACCAAAATTTCCTTCCTTCTTTCAGGTAAGGTGCACGGCTCCCTCGCCCGCGCCGGCAAAGTGAGGGGCCAGACCCCCAAGGTGAGCTCTGAGGGGGCTCCCCCCAGCTTTGGGGGGCTTGGGGACCCTGCCATGATTTTGGGGACCCCCCCTGACCCCCCGGTTTTCCGTCAGGTGGCCAAGCAGGAGAAGAAGAAGAAGAAGACGGGGCGGGCCAAGCGGCGCATGCAGTACAACCGGCGCTTCGTCAACGTCGTGCCCACCTTCGGCAAGAAGAAGGGGCCCAACGCCAACTCCTGAGCAAAATAAAGGAATTTGGGCACAATCCCTGCCATTTTGGGACTTCCTGAGGGTTTTTTTGCTTTTTTAGGGTTGGTTTTGCACTGTTGTAGGGACAATTTTGAGGAGTTTAAGGGTCAGAGTGGCCTCTACGGGGGTTGTGCGTGTCGCTGAGCAGATTGGGGGCGATTAATAGGCGGTGATTAGAGAAAAGAGATTAATGAGCGTTAATTTGGAGGCTGCTAATGAGGATGCTGTGCGCAGAAGAGTTTTCTATGGGAGCGGCGGAAAGAGCCGAGCGCTGCCGAAATAGCCGAGCGCAGGGGGCGGCGGAAGGAGCCGAGCAGTGACGGAAATATCCGAGCGCAGGAGGGCGGCGGAAGGAACCGAGCAGTGACGGAAATAGCCGAGCGCAGGGGGGCGGCGGAAGGAACCGAGCAGTGACGGAAATATCCGAGCGCAGGGGGGCGGCGGAAGGAACCGAGCAGTGACGGAAATATCCGAGCGCAGGGCGGCGGAAGGAGCCGAGCAGTGACGGAAATATCCGAGCGCAGGGGCCCGGCGGAGGGAGCCGAGTGCTGCCGGAAATAGCCGATCGCAAGGGCGCGGCGGAAAGAGCCGAGTGGTGACGGAAATTCCCGAATGATTCCGAATATGAGGGGGCCTGAGGTGCCGAGCGCTGCCGGAAATACCCGAGTGTAGGGGCGGGGCGGAGGGAGCCGAGCGGTGCCGAAATCCCCGAGTGATTCCGAATATGAAGTGCCGTGGGAAAATGCGATGATGGGAACAGCCCCGGGTGCCTCCTGTCCCCCCAAAATCCCCCTGGGAGGGAACGAGGGACCCCAAAACTTCCCCAATTCCCCTAAACCGGATCCCCCCCAGCCCCAGAGCCGCTGGGTGAGTAAAAGAGGCGGGACAAATCCGTCCTGAGATATGAATATGCAAATATCGGGGGTTTATTATGCTAATAAACGAGTGACGTGAAACCCTCCGGTCTGAGAGGCGGGGTTATGCAAAATAGACGCTAACGGCGAGCGAAAGGCATGATGGGAGCATTTTTGGGGCAGAATTTCGGGATTTTTGGGGTCGGATCGTGCGGAACGCGGGATCAAAGCGCGGAATGGGATGGAGAGAACGTTCCAGAAGGGTTCGGGAGCGGTCGGGGCCCGGCGCGGCGGTGGCCGTGAGGTGCGGGTGGGCCGGGCGGGCCGGTGGCGGCGCTGTGTCAAATCTCGGCATCGCTTCTCGGCCTTTTGGCTAAGATCAAGTGTAGTATCTGTTCTTATCAGTTTAATATCTGATACGTCCTCGATGAGAGGACTTTATATTAAACGGATTTTTGGGCTCGGGAGTTGGACCCGGAGCTTGCTCCCTCCGCTCCGCGCATCGTCCCGGTATTGCAGTGCCTCCGGGAACGGTGCACCCCGCACGGGGACCTCTCAATGGTAAAAAGTAGACTGAAAACTTCTGGAATCGTAGTTGCATCGCAACATCAACCATGAATTCTCCAGTTGCCGCCTCTTGCAGCGGCAACCTACATTGGTGTAAATGTAGGAACTGATTGGAGTCGTGATTATATGGCGATGTCAGCTACGGTTCACTTGCTCGCTGTCTTTTAACGGCTCACTCATTCTGTGCTGAACTTTACCGTTCCGGTATTGCGGTGCGGCCGGAACACTGCTTCCCCAACGGGGACCTATCAGCCGTGAACAACAGACGAAAAACTACCTGGAACTGACGGAAAATCGTGATTAATCGCGATATCAGCCGTGCATCAGCTCAGTGCTAGCCTTATTGCAACTCACTGTGTAGCAACACCAGGACGGTGAGTACAGCAGAGTGAGCTACAGAGGAACAGCAAGGAGCAGAACCGTAGTTGATACCGCAATGTAACCTTGATTTCACCCCATTTTAGGCGATTTTCGGTCTATTTTCACAATTGATAATTCCTTGTTGGGTGTGCACCGTTCCTGGCGGCACTGCAACTCCGAGAGTGAGTACAACACAGAATGAGGGAGTTGGAAGGGTGGGTGATAGGCTGGCCCAAGGCTGATACTTGCATTACAATCGCGAATGAAGAAGTTTTCAGTCTATCTTTCACCAACGAAAGGTCCCCGTGCGGGGTGCACCGTTCCCGGAGGCACTGCAATACCGGGACGATGCGCGGAGCGGAGGGAGCAAGCTCCGGGTCCAACTCCCGAGCCCAAAAATCCGTTTAATATAAAGTCCTCTCATCGAGGACGTATCAGATATTAAACTGATAAGAACAGATACTACACTTGATCTTAGCCAAAAGGCCGAGAAGCGATGCCGGGACTTGACACAGCGCCGCCACCGGCCCCGCCCGGCCCGCCCGCACCTCACGGCCACCCCCGCGCCGCGCCGCGACAGATCCCGAACCTTTCTGGAACGTTCTCTCCATCCCATTCCGCGTTTTGATCCCGCGTTCCGCACGATCCGACCCCAAAAACCCCGAAATTCTCCAAAAAAAATGTTCCCATCATGCCTTGCGCTAGATGTGCGTGTCTGTTTTGCATAAACCCGCCCCCCAGCCCGGCAGCGCGGGAAATTTAAAGGCGCGCAGGGGAGAATGGGGAAAATTGGGGATTTTGGGGAGTTTTGGGTGAGCAGTGAGGATGAGGAGGGGGTGGGGGCTCTGGGAGGGGTTACCTGGGCTCACCCGCCCGGGGGGCACCTGGGGGGTACCTGGGGGGCACCTGGGCACGGGGCGGTGCCAAAGAAGGCGCTGAGGGAGCGAGGTTTGTTCCACATTAGACAGTTTCACCTTCCAGTAGCCCCAGTTTCATCCCAGTTCCACCCCAGTAACCCCAGTTCCATCCCAGCACATCCTTGTAACCTAACCCCAGGAAAAAGCAGGGCAGTGAGAGAAAAAGCAGTTTAAACACAGGCAAAACCTTTTATTTCCATATTAATCCTTTCAAACGGAAGGCTAACCCCTTCCCCGGCGCTCCGCCGAGTTCCAATCACGCCTTTTTTAATTATTTTCCCTGCCTCACTTAAAATTTTTTAAATATTTTCCTTCATTTTCGCTTGAAAGATCACAGAGCCGCGGGGCTCACCGAGGCACCGACCCTCAGAGCGAGGCTGCCCGGGACCATCCCTGGGCTCCCGGGGGTTCCCGGGTCTTCCCCGGTGCCGCCATCGCTCCCTGAGGGCGGCGCCGCCATGAGGGGAGGGGGGCGTGGTCAACGCTCACAAGCCACGCCCACCATGGGCGGAGCTTCCCCGCTCCCTGAGGGCGCAGTAGCCATGAGGGGAAAGGGCGTGGCCACCATAACAAGCCACGCCCATCGTGGGCGGAGCCTCTACCACTCCCGGAAGCGGCGCGGGCGGTGCCCCGGAAGCGGCGGGCGCTGACCCGGAAGCGGCGCGGGGCGGGCAGGGCGGCGATGGCGGCGGAGGAGCCTCAGCAGCCGCAGCCGGAGCCGCTGGGCGGCAGCGATGCCGACGGTACCGACGGAGCCCCCTCCTCACCCATCCCCACACCGCGGGATCCCCCCCGGTTCTCCCTCGCGCCGCGGCCTCGTTACTCCCGGGAGGGCCTCCATCAGCCCGGTTTACCGAATCCACCAAACCCGCCCCGATCTCCCCCGGTTTCCCCACTTAGGACCCTTCCGGGGGTATCCCAGACCCTCCCGGTGGGGCTGAGCCGCGCTCGGGACCCCCCGTTAACCCCTCCGGTAACCCCCGGCGTCCCCCCGGTAACTCCCGGTGTCCCCCCAGGTGTGAACTGCCTGGCCTACGACGAGGCCATCATGGCGCAGCAGGACCGGATCCAGCAGGAGGTGCGGATCCCCCTCCCCAAATCCCTCCGGGACCCCCCCAAACCGGCCCCGGGGGGGGTCCCGGTGGTCCCGGGGGTGGTCCCGGGGGTGTCCCCGGTTTGTGACCCCCCGGTTGGGCGCAGATCGCGGTGCAGAACCCGCTGGTGTCCGAGCGCCTGGAGCTGGCCGAGCTCTACAAGGAGTACGCGGAGGATGACCACGTGTACCAAGAGAAAATCAAGGTGCGGACTGGGAGGGACTGGGAAGGGACTGGGACAGTGGGACAGGGCTGAGGGTGGTACTGGGAGAGACTGGGAGAGAGTGGGAGGGGATTGGGGGACACTGGGAGGGACTGGGATGGACTGGGAGAGAACAGGTTTGGACTGGGAGGGAAACTGGGGGGACTGGGATGGGACTGGGACACCGGGAAAGGGATGGGGATGGTGCTGGGATGTACTGGAGGGGACTGGGGGAGAACTGGTTTGGACTGGGAGACACTGGGATGGGACTGGGAGGGGATTAAGGAGGACTGGGGAACTGGGAGGGGACTGGGAGGGACTGGGGGACGCTGGGGCAGGGCTGGGGATGGCACTGGGACGGACTGGGGACAGCTCCAGTTTGGGACTGGGAGCTGCTGGGGGACACTGGGACGGGGCTGGCTGCAGCCCAGGTGTACTGGGAGGGACTGGGAGGGACTGGGACACCAGGCCAGGGTTGGCTGTCCCCGCTCCTTGTCCCGGCTGTCCCAGGGCTGTCCCCTGTCCTCCATGGTGTCCCCACATTGTCCCCAGGGTGTGGCTGCCCTGGGCTGTACCCAATGTCCCCGCAGTGTCCCTGTCCCCACTGTGTCCCCCTGTATGCCCCGATGTCCCTCCTGATGTCCCCTGATGTCCCCTGTCCCCAATGTCCCCACAGTGTCCCTGTCCCCACTGTGTCCCCTGTATGCCCCGATGTCCCTCCTGATGTCCCCACAGTCTCTGTCCTGGCTGTCCCTGGGGATGTCCCCAGGGCCGTCCTCAGTGTCCCCACAGTGTCCCCTGTCCTTGGGGATGTCCCTGGTGTCCCCTTGGTGTCCCTGCAGTTGCTGCCCCAGGGCTGCCCCTGCTCTATCCCTGATGTCCCCACGCTGTCCCTGTCCCCACGGTCCCTGTCCTGGCTGTCCCCTGTTTCCCCCCGGTGTCCCCACATTGTCCCCCTGGTGTGGCTGCCCTGGGGCTGTCCCTGGGCTGTCCCTGGGCTGTCCCCGATGTCCCCACGCTGTCCCTGTCCCCAGGACCTGCTGCAGAAGTACTCGTACATCCGCAAGACGCGGCCGGACGGGAATTGTTTCTACCGCGCCTTCGGCTTCGCGCACCTGGAGGCGCTGCTGGAGGACGGCCAGGAGCTGCAGCGGTGAGGGCACCCCAAAAAACGGGAAAAACAGCCCCAAAACCGGCACAAACTGCCCCAAAACCGGCACAAACTGCACCAAAATCGGCACAGACAGCCCAAAAACGGCACAAACTGCACCAAAAATGGCACAAACTGCCCCAAAACCGGCACAAACTGCACCAAAATCGGCACAGACAGCCCAAAAACGGCACAAACTGCACCAAAATCGGCACAAACTGCCCCAAAACCGGCACAAACTGCACCAAAAATGGCACAAACTGCCCCAAAACCGGCACAAACTGCACCAAAATCGGCACAGACAGCCCAAAAATGGCACAAACTGCCCCAAAACCGGCACAAACTGCCCAAAAACGGCACAAACTGCACCAAAATCGGCACAAACTGCCCCAAAACCGGCACAAACTGCACCAAAATCGGCACAGACAGCCCAAAAATGGCACAAACTGCCCCAAAACCGGCACAAACTGCCCCAAAAACGGCACAAACTGCACCAAAATCGGCACAAACTGCCCCAAAACCGGCACAAACTGCACCAAAAATGGCACAAACTGCACCAAAAACGGCACAAACTGCCCCAAAAATGGCCTGGAACAGCCCAAAAACGGCATAAACTGCCCCAAAAATGGCACAAACTGCACCAAAAATGGCACAGACAGCCCAAAAACCAGCCTGGAACTGCCCCAAAACCACCCTGAAACAGCCCAAAAATGGAACAGACAGCCCCGAAAACAGCCTGGAACTGCCCCAAAACCACCCTGAAACAGCCCAAAACCAGCTCAAAAATAACCTGAAACAGCCAAAAATAACCCGAAACAGCCCTGGGAACCCAAAACCAGCCCAAAATACTGCTAAGATACCCCCAAGACACTCCAAAAATAATCTGAGGAACCCCAAAATACACCCAGGGATCCCAAAACAGCCTTGGGACCACAAAAATACCCCCAAAATACCCCCAGGCACTACAAAACACTCAGAGACTCCCCCCAAAACCCCCATAAATCACCCCCTGAGCCCCCAGACCCCTCTGGGTGCCCCCAGCCCCCCTTGTGTGCCCCCCCAGGGTTCCCCAGTCCCCTCTGGGTGCCCCCCTGAGCCCTTTGGGTGCCCCCAGCCCCCTTTTAGGTGACCCCAGACCCATTTCGAGTGCCGCCCAAGCCCCCCCCGAGCCCCCTTTTGGTGCCCCCCAGGTTCCCCCCAGACCCCTCTGGGTACCCCCCAAACCCCCCCCCGAGCCCCAGTCCCCTCTGGGTGCCCCCAGACCCCTTTGGGTGCCCCCAGCCCCCCCTGAGCCCCCCTGAGCCCCCTTTTTGTGCCCCCCAGGTTCAAGGAGGTGTCGGCGCGCAGCAAGGAGGAGCTGGTGGCTCAGGGCTTCACCGAGTTCACCATCGAGGACTTCCACAACACGGTGGGGCTGGGGGCTCTGGGGGGGGCTTTGGGGGGCTTCAGGAGGGTCCTGGGGGGCTTTGAGGGGCTTCAAGAGGGTCATAGGGGCCTTTGGGGGGGTTCAGGAGGGTCCTAGAGGGCTCTGGGGACTCTGGAGGAGGATTTTGGGGGGTCTGGGGGGGGTTCGGGAGGGTCCTAGGGGGCTTTGGGGGGCCCAGGGGGGCTCTGCAGGAGGTTTTGGGGGGTCTGGGGGGCTTTGGAGGGGTTCAGGAGGGTCCTAGGAGGGTCGGGGGGCTCAGAAGCGGCTCAGGCTGGGGTCAGGAGGGCTTTGAGGGGTCTGGGGGCTTTGGGATGGTTCTGAAGGGGTCTTGGGGGGGGCTGGGGGCTTTGGGGGTCAGGGTGGGTTCAGAGAGGGGCTGGGGGGGCTGGGGGGGCGTTCAGAGGGGTCCTGGGGGGCTTTGGGGGTTCAGGAGGGGCTCTGAGGGGCTCTGCGGGTGACACAGCTGCGTGGGACAGGTGTGACACTGTTTGTGTGGCCCGGGTGTGACACAGGTGTGACAGGTGACACACAGGTGTGACAGGTGTGTGTGACCCAGGTGTGACAGGTGTGTGTGACCCAGGTGTGACAGGTGACACACAGGTGACACAGGTGACACACAGGTGTGACACAGGTGTGACACAGGTGTGACACAGGTGTGACAGGTGACACACAGGTGACACAGGTGACACACAGGTGTGACACAGGTGTGACACAGGTGTGACACAGGTGTGACAGGTGACACACAGGTGTGACAGGTGTGTGTGACCCAGGTGTGACAGGTGACACACAGGTGTGACAGGTGACACACAGGTGACACAGGTGTGACACAGGTGTGACAGGTGACACACAGGTGTGACAGGTGTGACACAGGTGTGACAGGTGACACACAGGTGTGACAGGTGTGTGTGACCCAGGTGTGACAGGTGACACACAGGTGACACAGGTGACACACAGGTGTGACACAGGTGTGACACAGGTGTGACACAGGTGTGACAGGTGACACACAGGTGTGACAGGTGACACACAGGTGACACAGGTGTGACACAAGTGTGACAGGTGACACACAGGTGTGACAGGTGTGACACAGGTGTGACAGGTGACACACAGGTGTGACAGGTGTGTGTGACACAGGTGTGACAGGTGACACACAGGTGACACAGGTGACACACAGGTGTGTGACAGGTGTACATTTCCCAGCTGATGGAGCTGATCGAGCGCGTGGAGCACCGGGTGTGTGTCAGATGTGACACAGGTGTATGATAGGTGTGACACAGGTGACACAGGTGACACAGGTGTCACACAGGTGTCTGTCCCCCAGCTGATGGAGCTGATCGAGCGCGTGGAGCGCCGGGTGTGTGTCAGATGTTACACAGGTGTATGATAGGTGTGACACAGGTGACACAGGTGTGACAGGTGACACAGGTGACACAGGTGTCACACAGGTGTCTGTCCCCCAGCTGATGGAGCTGATCGAGCGTGTGGAGCGCTGCGTGTGTGTGATAGATGTTATGTAAATGTGACACAGGTGTGACACAGGTGACACAGGTGTGACACAGGTGACACAGGTGTCACACAGGTGTCACACAGGTGTCACACAGGTGTCTGTCCCCCAGCTGATGGAGCTGATCGAGCGCGTGGAGCGCCGGGTGTGTGTGATAGATGTTATGTAAATGTGACACAGGTGTGACACAGGTGTGACACAGGTGACACAGGTGTCACACAGGTGTCTGTCCCCCAGCTGATGGAGCTGATCGAGCGCGTGGAGCGCCGGGTGCCGCTGCCCGAGCTGCTGGCGGCGTTCAACGAGCCGGCCACGTCGGATTACCTGGTGGTTTACCTGCGCCTGCTCACCTCGGGCTGCCTGCAGCGCCACCGGCGCTTCTTCGAGCAGTTCCTGGAGGGCGGCCGCAGCATCAAGGAGTTCTGCCAGCAGGTACGGGCACCTGGGCACCTGGGCACTGTGTGTGGGGCACCTGGGCACTGTCTGAGGGTACCTGGGCACTGTCTGAGGGTACCTGGGGCACCTGGGAGTTCTGCCAGCAGGTACGGGCACCTGGGCACCTGGGCACTGTCTGTGGGCACCTGGGCACTGTCTGAGGGTACCTGGGCACTGTCTGAGGGTACCTGGGGCACCTGGGAGTTCTGCCAGCAGGTACGGGCACCTGGGCACCTGGGCACTGTACATGGGGCACCTGGGAGTTCTGCCAGCAGGTATGGCACCTGGGCATTGTACCTGGGCACTGTCTGTGGGCACCTGGGCACTGTGTGTGGGGCACCTGGGCACTGTCTGAGGGTACCTGGGCACTGTACCTGGGGCACCTGGCAGTTCTGCCAGCAGGTACGGGCACCTGGGCACCTGGGCACTGTCTGTGGGCACCTGGGCACTGTGTGTGGGGCACCTGGGCACTGTCTGTGGGCACCTGGGCACTGTGTGTGGGCACCTGGGCACTGTGTGTGGGGCACCTGGGCACTGTCTGAGGGTACCTGGGCACTGTCTGAGGGTACCTGGGGCACCTGGGAGTTCTGCCAGCAGGTACGGGCACCTGGGCACCTGGGCACTGTCTGTGGGCACCTGGGCACTGTCTGTGGGGCACCTGGGCACTGTCTGAGGGTACCTGGGCACTGTCTGAGGGCACCTAGGCACTGTGTGTGGGCACCTGGGCACTGTCTGAGGGTACCTGGGCACTGTCTGAGGGTACCTGGGGTACCTGGGCATTGTCTGAGGGTACCTGGGCACTGTACCTGGGGCACCTGGCAGTTCTGCCAGCAGGTACAGACACCTGGGCACCTGGGGCACCTGGGCATTGTCTGAGGGGCAGCCGTGCCACCATGTGAGGGGCACTTCTGTCACCAGGTGTGGGGCACCTGGGCGTGTGCCCACGTGCAAGGAGAGTGACGGCAGCCACACCATCGCTGACCGCTGTGTCCCCTGACCAATGTCCCCTTTGTGTCCCCTCTGTCCCCCACAGCCCAGTGTCTCCTGTGTCCCCCATGTCCCTCGCACCTCACTGACCACACTGACCATTGTCTGTCCGTCTGTCTGTCCGTCTGTCCCTGCAGGAGGTGGAGCCCATGTGCAAGGAGAGCGACCACGTCCACACCTCACTGACCAGTGTCGCTGACCAATGTCCCCTCTGTCCCTCACACCACATTAATTGTTATCACTGACCAATGTCCATCTGTCTGTCCGTCTGTCCCTGCAGGAGGTGGAGCCCATGTGCAAGGAGAGCGACCACATCCACATCATCATTAACCACTCTCTGTCTGTCCGTCTGTCTGTCTGTCCCTGCAGGAGGTGGAGCCCATGTGCAAGGAGAGCGACCACATCCACATCATCATTAACCACTCTCTGTCTGTCCGTCTGTCCGTCTGTCCCTGCAGGAGGTGGAGCCCATGTGCAAGGAGAGCGACCACATCCACATCATCATTAACCACTCTCTGTCTGTCCGTCTGTCCGTCTGTCCCTGCAGGAGGTGGAGCCCATGTGCAAGGAGAGCGACCACATCCACATCATCGCGCTGGCGCGGGCGCTGCACGTCTCCATCCTGGTGGAGTACATGGACCGGGGCGAGGGCGGCGCCACCAACCCGCACGTGTTCCCCGAGGGCTCCCAGCCCCGCGTCTGCCTCCTCTACCGCCCCGGCCACTACGACATCCTCTACAAGTGACCCCCGGGCCGAGACCCCCGGCCCGGGCACCGCCGGGACCCCCCGAGCCCCGCCCGGCCCCGCCCCACCCACCCCGAATAAAGACGTGGCTGCCCCCCAACCCCAGCGAGGGATGAGTGGGGCTGGTTATTTGGGGAGGGGGAGGTCGGGGAGGGGTTATTTGGGGAGGGGGAGGTCGGGGAAGGGGGTGGGAGGGGGCTGGATGGTCTTGGGGGGCTGGGGAGGGGGAGTTTGGGGAGGAGAAGGGGCAGTTTGGGGCAAATGAGGGGGATTTTGGGGTGAGGAAGGGGCAGTTTGGGGTGAGGAAGGGTTATTTGGGGAGGGGGAGGTCGGGGAGGGGTTATTTGGGGAGGGGGAGGTCGGGGAAGGGGGTGGGAGGGGGGGTTGGATGCTCTTGGTGGGGTAGGGAGGGGGAGTTTGGGGCAAATGAGGGGGATTTTGGGGTGAGGAAGGGGCAGTTTGGGCTGGGGAGGGGGAATTTGAGGTGAGGAAGGGGCAATTTAGGGCAGGTGAGGTGGTGGGGAGGGGCAATTTGGGTGGGAAGGGGGAATTTTAGGTGAGGAAGGGTTATTTGGGGAGGGGGAGGTCGGGGAAGGGGGTGGGAGGGCGCTTGGGGAGGTGGGGAGGGGGAGTTTGGGGTGGGGAAGGGGAGTTGGGGGCAAATGAGGGGGTAGGGAGAGGGAATTTGGGGTGGAAGGGGCAGTTTGGGGTGGAAGGGGCAGTTTGGGACACGAGAGGGGCAGCTGGGGCAGTTGAGGGGGTGGGAGGAGGTTGGGACCCCCCTTTTGGGGGAATTGAGGGGTCGGGGACCCCTTTTGAGGCAGTTTTGGGGAGGGGAAAGGGATTTGGGGACCCCTTTGGGCGATACTCGGGGGTCTCTGAGGTTTGGGGGGAGCTGGGGGGGGTAAATGGGGCTGGGGGGGGCAGATTTGGGGAGGGGGCGTGCCAGGGGCAGGACTCTCCCCCTCCCCAATTTGAGGGGACACAGAACGCCCCCCCCAAGACCCCCAAATCCGCCCCTCTCCAACCGGGGGGGGTCCGGGCTGTTCCCACCCCCATTCAAAAGCTGAGGGAGGGAAGCGCCGTCGCCCCCTCCCCAAATTCCAGCCGTGCCCCGGATTCACCGATCCCAAATCCCCAAATTCCCCCGGTACCGGGGGAGGGGTCTCGGTCCCGGTTTGATCCATCCCACCCCCCAAATTCTCCGGTACCGGGGGGCGGTCCGGGTCCTGCCCACCCCCCAAATTCCCGGTACCGGGGGGCGGTCCCGGTCAATTCCCCCCATACCGGGGGGGTGGTCCCGGTTCATCCCACCCCCCAAATTCCCTGGTTCCGGTCCCGGTTCCGGTCCCGGTTTGGTCCATCCCCCTCCCCAAATCCCCGGTACCGGGGGCGGTCCCGGTTCGGTTTGGTTCATCCCACCCCCCAAATCCCCGGTACCGGGGGCGGTCCCGGTTCGGTTTGGTTCATCCCACCCCCCAAATCCCCGGTACCGGGGGCGGTCCCGGTTCGGTTTGGTTCATCCCACCCCCCAAATCCCCGGTACCGGGGGCGGTCCCGGTTCGGTTTGGTTCATCCCACCCCCCAAATCCCCGGTACCGGGGGCGGTCCCGGTCAATCCCCCCCGCACCGGGGGCGGTCCCGGTCCCGGTCCTGCCCCCCCCCCTCCCCTCCGCCGCCGCCGCCTTCCCACGCCCGCAGCCGCCGCCGCCGCCGCCGGGCCCGCACGCGCCGGCCGGAGCCACCCGGTAAGGACCCCCCGGGACCCCTCCCCAAACCGGGACCCCCTCCCCAAACCGGGACCCCCTCCCCAAATCCATCCCCGGTACCCGCGGATGCTCCAGCGCTCGGAATGGGGCGGGGGGGGGAGGGGGAGGCTCCGTTGGGCCGGAGCGGGGCCCGATCCCACCCGAGACCCCCTCGGAGCGACCACCCCGCACCCAGAGACCCCCCCCACACACAGAGACCCCTCCCCAAACCAAGGGACCCCCCCCAAATCCGCCGTGTCCCCTCCCCCCCCCCATTCCCAGGGATGCTCCAGCCATTCCGGGGGGAGGGGCCCGGGCGGCCAAAAGGGGAGGGGGGGAACCAGGAGTGGCCCGAGACCCCCCCCGGGGTCCCCAAATCCCAGCGGGACCCCCCCAAAACCTACCCGGTACCGGGACCCCCCCCCAAAACCCTCCCGGTACCGGGGATGCTCCAACGGGGGGGGGGGGGGAACCGTCCGAGAGGGGGGAGGGGCCCGCGGGTCCGACCCCCCCCCCTCCCCCCCACAACACCCCCAGAGCCCCCCAAAGCCCCCCGGGACCCCCCCCAAGAGCCGGGGATGCTCCAGGAAGGGGAGGGCGGAGGGGGGGGACAGGATCAGGGTTTAGGGCAGCGACCCCCCCCTAATTTCTATGGGAACCCCCCCCCAAAAATCCCCTCTAAGGCTCACGGGGGGGTCACCTGGGGGTGTCACCTGTGTCCCCCCCATTCCTGGGGGTGTCGCTGTCACCTGCGTCCCCCCCCCCATAGATGTCACCTGGGGGTGTCACCTGTGTCCCATCCCCCCCCCCCCATAGGTGTCACCTGTGTGTCCCCCCCCCCCCGAGCCCAGGGCTGACGCAAGGGGGTCCCTGGGGGGGGGGGGGGGCAGCACTAACGATGCGCCGCTAATGAGGGGGGGTTCATTAGGGGGGTTCATTAACCACGCTGCTAATTAACCCCCGGGGGGGTGAGGGAAGGGCTCGCACACCTGGGTCCCGCCGGGTGTCACATTAAAAGGGGAGGGGGTGTCACATGAGGACCCCCCCCCCCCCCCGTGGCTCTGACGCCCCCTCCCCACCCGCAGCGCCCCCCCCCGGCGGGGCGGGGGGGCCATGGAGCACCGGGCCCGGTGAAGGAACGAGGAGGAGGAGGAGGAGGAGCCCGGGGGGAGCGACAGGAGCCAGGTACGGCCCCGCCCCCCGGACACACCTGGAGGGATTGGGGACCCCCCCCCAAATGGGCAGGGGGAGTTTGGGGTGTCCCTGGGCTGGGTTTGGGGTCGGGGGGGGGGTTAGGAAATATTGGGGGGGGGCTATAATGAGGGGGGGTCTGTAATGGGGTGAGAGGGGTCCCTGCGCTCTCTGTGGGGTCAGGCTGGGGGTCCTGGTCCCCCTTTAATGGGGGGTCCTTCCTTTTATTTGGGGTCAGACGGGGGGTCCTGGTCCCCTTATAATGGGGGGGTCCTACCTTTTATTTAGGGTCAGACTGGGGGTCTTGGACCACTTTTAATGGGGAGGGTCCTGCTTTACATTTGGGGCCACACTGGGGGTCCTGGTACCCCTTTAATGGGGGGGGGTCCTGCCTTCTCTATGGGGTCAGTCGGGGGGTCCTGGTCCCGCTTTAATAGGGGTCTGAGGGGGGGTCCTGCTTTTCATTTGGGGTCAAGCTGAGGGTCTCATACCACCTTTAATGGGGGGGGGGGTTTGTGCTGTTTATTTAGGGGCAGGCTGGGGGTCCTGATCCCCCTTTAAAGGGGGGGGTCCTACTTTTCATTTGGGGTCAGGCTGGGGGTCCTGGTCCCCTTATAATGGGGGGGGTCCTGCTTTACATTTGGGGCCAGACTGGGGGTCCTGGTACCCCTGTAATGGGGGTCTTGGGGGGAGGGTCCTGCCTGACATTTGGGGTCAGGGTTGGGGTCCTGGTCGCCCTTTAATGGGGGGGTCCTGCCTTTTATTTGGGGTCAGGTTGGGGGTCGTGGTTCCCCCTTTAGTGGAGGGGGGGGTGGGTCCTGCCTCTCATTTGGGGTCAGGCTGGGGGTCCTGGTGACCCTTTAATGGGAGGGTCCTGGTCCCCATTTAATGGGGGTCTGAGGGAGGGGTCCTGCCTTTCTATGGGATCAGCCTGGGGGTCCCGGTCCCCTCTAATGGGGGGGGGTCCTGTCTTTTATTTGGGGTCAGGCTGGGGGTCCTGGTTCCCCTTTAGAGTGGGATGCTGAGAGGGGGTCCTGCTTTTTGTTTGGGGTCAAGCTGGGGGTCCTGATCCCCCTTTAATGGAGGGGGGGGTGGGTCCTGCCTCTCATTTGGGTCAGGCTGGGGGTCCTGGTCCGCCTTTGATGGGGGGTGCAGCTGGGGGGGGTCCTGCCTTATATTCGGGCTCAGGCTGGGGAGGGGGCCGCACCCCCCAGGTGGTCTCAGGACCACTCCCCTCCCCACCCCCCTGACCCCTCCCCTTTCTCCCCCTCCTCCCACAGGCCACCCACCCACCCATGGCCCCCCCTCCCCGTCCCCTCCCCGTCCCCCGGTCACCGCGGGGGGGGGGACCCCAAAGGCTGCTGACCATCGTGACCACCGTGCTGACCACCGCCCTCACCGTGCTGACCACCGTGCTGACCACCACCATCACCGTGCTGACCACCGTGCTGACCACTGCCCTCACCGTGCTGACCACCGCGACCACCCTGCTGACCACTGGCATTCCCCTGCTGCTGACCACTGAGACCACTGTGGCCATAATCCCCCGACTGACCACCGCGCCCCACCCTGCTGACCACCAGAATCACCCTGCTGCTGACCACTGCGAGCACCCTGCTGACCACTGCGACCACCCCGCTGACCACCGGAATCCCCCGACCGACCACCGGCATCACCGTGCTGACCACCGTGACCACCGTGGCCATCATCCCCCTGCTGACCACCGTGACCACCCTGCTGACCACTGCCCTCACCCTGCTGACCACTGGAATCCCCCAGCAGACCACTGGTATCCCCCTGCTGCTGACCACCGGCATTTCCCGACTGACCACCGGCCTTCCCCGGCTGCCCGCCACGACCACCATCCCCCTGCTGACCCTCACCCTGCTGACCACCGCCGCCACCCCCGTGTCCGCCTGTCCCGCCGTTTGCCGCTGCTCCGGCGGCCGCGTTTACTGCAACGACCGCGGGCTGACGGCCGTGCCCGAGGGGCTCCCTCCCGGCGCCACCACGCTGTTCCTGCAGAACAACCGCATCGGCGACGCGGGCATCCCGGCCCGCCTGGGCCGGCTGCCGGCGCTGCGGGTGCTGTACCTGTACGCCAACGCCCTGGAGCAGCTGCCGGCTCACCTGCCGCCGGCTCTGCGGGAGCTGCACCTGCAGGAGAACAACGTGCGCGGCCTCTGCCGCCGGGCGCTGGCCCGGGCGCCGCTGCTCGAGCGGCTGCACCTGGACGACAACTCGGTGTCGGCCGCCGGCATCGAGGAGGACGCGTTCGCCGAGAACCGCCGGCTGCGCCTCCTCTTCCTCTCTCGGAACCACCTGAGCAGCGTCCCCGCGGGGCTGCCGCCGGCGCTGGAGGAGCTGCGGCTGGATGACAACCGCATCCACACCATCCCGCTGCGGGCTTTCGAGGGGCTGCCGGCGCTGCGGCGCCTGGTGCTGGACGGGAACCTGCTGGCGAACCAGCGCATGGCCGACGACACCTTCAGCCGCCTGGGGAACCTCAGCGAGCTCTCGCTGGGGCGCAACGCGCTGGCGGCGCCCCCGGCCAACCTGCCCCGGGCCCGGCTCCGCCGCCTCTCGCTGGCCGCCAACGCCATCAGCCACGTCCCGGCCGGAGCTCTGGCCAGGATGAGGGCGCTGGAGCGCCTGGATCTGTCGGACAACAACCTGACCACGCTGCCCAGGGGGCTCTTCGACGACCTGGGCAGCCTGAGCCACCTGGGGCTGCGCAACAACCCCTGGTTCTGCGGCTGCAACCTGGCCTGGCTGCGGGACTGGCTGCGGCGCCGCGCCCCGCCGCGCCTGGAGGTGCGGGGGCTGCTGTGCCAGGCACCGGCCCGGCTGCGGGGGCTGCCGGTGGGAGAGCTCCGGGGGGAGATGGACGCTTGCGAGAGCCCGGGAGGGGCGGGGGGAACGGGCGCGGGGACGTCGCCCGGCGTTTCCTCCGCCGGCGTTTCCTCCCCCGCCGCGCCGGGAGGAGCGGCCGCCGCCTCGCCGGGGCTCTGGGTGCAGGCGGCTCCCGGCGGGGCCCTGCGGGTCCGGTGGCCACCGGCGCCTCCCGGGGCGTCGCTGAGGCTCAGCTGGCTGCGGCCCGGGGGGGGAGCCGTGACCGAGACCTTGGTGCGGGGCGAGCGCGGTGAGTACGTGGTGCGGGCGCTGCAGCCCCGGGCCCCGTACCGGGTGTGCCTCGCCGCTCTGGAGCCCCCCGCCGCTCCCCCGCTCTGCGCACAAGCCCGGGCCGGTGCCGGCGACCCCTCCCAAACCGGAGCGGCCCCCCCGAGCCACGAGGGGGACGCGACCCCCGCGCTGCTGCCCCCGGCCGCGGCTCTGGGGGCGGCGGCGGCGGCGGCGGCCGGGGTGGTGCTGGGGGTGCTGGGGGGGTGCTGGAGGAAGAGGAGGAGGAGGAGGAGGAGGAGGATGGGGCTGGGGGCGCCGCCGTTGCCGCCCCCCAAAGGTGGCGGGGGGGGGGCGCGGTTGGCGCTGCGGCCGCTGCGGGCCCCGGACGAGGGCGGGATCCGCACCGTGTTCCCCCCCCCGCCGCCGCCGCCGCCGCTGCCCCCCCCCGGCGTGCGCGGTTACCGGGGGGGGCCGGTACCGCATGGGGGGGGCGGCGGAGGGGGGTCCTGATGGATGGGGGAGGGGGCGGACTCTGTTTTTGGGGACCCCCCCCCCCTCCAAATCCTGCCCGTTTCGGGAGCCGGGCTTGGCTCTGAGGACGTTTTTTTTTCCGGGGGGGGCGGAATTTTAGGGGCTTTTTTAAGGTTGGGTTTTATTCGGCACCGCGGATTTTTTTGGGGGGGAAAAACGGCAGGTTTGGTGCAGGAATGGGGTTTGGGGGGGTGGATGGACCCCGATAGCCACGACCACCCACCCCCCTTCCATTGGGACCTCCGGGAGGACCCCAGGCCCCGACAGAGCCTGGGGGTGGGGAGGACCCCCCCCTCCCCGTGACCCCCCCTTCCCCCTCCCCCCCCCGCGAGGTGCCTTCACCCCTCCCCCCGCCCCTGCCGTTGGATTTGGGGTAAAAAGGACCAAAATCAGGACAAAGCGACCCAGGAGGGCCAAGGGGGACCCAAAATCCCCCCCTCTGCCCCCCCCCATCCTCCCCCAATAAACCCAGCGGCTCCTTTTCCTGCCGGTGCCTCTTTCCCGTGGGACGGGGGGGGTCTGGGGGGGAAATTTGGGGTGGGGGAGGCGGGATGTGACATTGGGGGAGGCGGGATGTGACATTGAGGGGGGGATGTGACATTGGGGGTGGCACTGGGGGTCCGGGGGGGGTGACACGGGGACCCCTCGGAGCGGGACGAGCAGTGGGGGAGGGGGACACGAGGGATGGGGGTGGGGAAGGGGAGGGGCCCTCACACCAGGGCCCTGCCAAGGTCACACGTGTGTCAGTCGCCACCGCCATTCCCCCATAGGGACCCACTGGATTCCCCTCCCTGATTCCCCCTGGACACGGGCGAGGGTCCCCCGTGCAAGCCCCGCCCCTTTTGTACAAACCACGCCCCTTTAGTGCAACCCCCGCCCCCGCGAAAGCCCCGCCCATTCGCTTCCCAGCGAGACCTCCGCGCCGCCAGGGGGCGCTCCCCGTCTCCCCCCCGCCCTCTGTGATCAGCTCCGCTCGCAGCCAATGGGAGAAGCGGAAAATTCCAGAAGTCCCAGAGGAGCTCAGCCAATGAGCGCCCAGCGCCGGGAGACTCGACCAATGAGAGCGCGCGTGGGCGGGGCCCGATGCCTGCTTCCGTCTGGAAGGGGGCGCGCCCCGCTGCGCGCAGCAGCCAATGGGAAGACAGGGAGGCAGGAGGTGGCCAATGGGATCGCTCGCGGGGGCGGGCGGGCGGGGCGGGCGACCAATGGGGCGCGGGGGGCGTGGCCGCAGGGTTCTAGCAGCTTCCAGAGGGCGGCGCGGGAGCGGCGGGAGCGGAGCCGCGGCCATGGAGGAGGTGGGGGGGAGCGGCCCTGAGGGGGTCCCGGAGGGGCCTGAGGGGAACCGGGACCGGGCCAGCTCCGGGGGCAGCGCTGGGGATCGGGGCTGGGTTTTATGGCGATCCCGAACGGGGCTCGGGGGTCGCTGCCGGGGTCGGGGCGCTCTGAGGGGAGCGCGGGGCCCTGAGGGGGCTCGGGGCGGTTTGGGCTTGTCCGAGGGTCCCTGAGGGGCACCTGAGGGGGCTCAGGGCGGTTTGGGCTCGTCTGGAAGTCCCTGAGGGGTCTCTGGAGAGCTCGGGGGTGTTTGGGCTTTTCTGGGGGTCCCTGAGGGGCTCCTGAGGGGGTTCAGGACGGTTTGGGGTCGTCTGGGGGTCCCTGAGGGGTCCCCGGGGGGTTCAGGGTCCTTGAGGGGGCTCGGGGGTCCTGGAGGGGTTTGGGGTTTCTGGGAAGCGCCTCCTTCCTCACGTTCTTGTTCTTTTTTCCTTCCCTCCTCTTCGCTTCTCCTTCATCTTCACCGGCCTCGTCTTCATCCTTCCGGCCTTGCTCACGCTGTTCTCCCTCTGCCTGTCACCTGCGCTCCCTTGCTTCTTCATCCTCCTCGTCTTCCTCGCTCCTTCATTATCCTCATCTTGCTCGCACTTTCATGCTCATTTCCTTTGCGCCTTCATCCTCCTCGTCTTCCTGACACTTTCATTCTCATCGTCTTCCTCATCATCCTCGCACCTTGCTGCTCCCGGCCCTTCGCTGTTCTCTCTCCGTCCCTTTACCCTTCCCTCCTTCATCCTCTTCCTTTCTTGTTCCCGTTCCTCTTCCTCTCCCGTTGCCCCTCTCCCGTTCCTGGGCCTCCTCTTCCTCTCCCTGTTCTCCTACCTGCTCTTCCTCTCCCCCTGTTCCCGTTCTCCCGCTCCCCGTTCCCGTGCCCCCCTCCCGTTCCCATTCCTATTCCTCCTCCCGTTCCCGTTCCTCCTGTTCCTCTTCCTCTCCCTCTCTCCCGTTGCCTTTCCTATTCCTCCTCTCCCTCTTCCCTCTCCCGTTCCCCTTCCTTCTCTCCCTCTCCCGTTCCCCGGTTCCGGTTCCCGCCGCGTTCCCGGCGCGGCTCGGGCAGGCTCAGGAGCTGAAGGAGCGGGGGAACCGGGCGCTGGCGGCGGGGGGACGTGGGGGCGGCCGTGGGGCACTACTCGGCCGCCATCGCCCGGGACCCCAACAACCACGTCCTGTTCAGCAACCGCTCGGCCGCCTACGCGCGCCTCGGAGACTACGGGCGGGCCCTGGCCGATGCGTGCCGCACGCTGGAGCTGCGCCCCGACTGGGCCAAGGTGGGTGCCAGGGGCATGGGGGGCACCGGGGGGCATGGGGTATGGGGGAATGGGGCCCTGGCCGATGCATGCTGCACCCTGGAGCTGCGCCCCCGACTGGGCCAAGGTGGGCATGGGGGTGCCAGGGGTGTGGGGGGCTCGGGGGGCATGGGAGGTTAATGGGAAATGGGGCCTCAGTGATGCCTCCTGCACCCTGGAGCTGCGCCCCGACTGGGCCAAGGTGGGCACCGGGGGTGCCAGGGGTGTGGGGGGCATGGGGAGAATGGGGCCCCGGCCGATGCGTGCCGCACGCTGGAGCTGCGCCCCAACTGGGCCAAAGTGGGTGCCAGGGGCATGGGGGGCACAGGGGGGTGACCATGGTGGGTGGGAGGTTAAGGGTGGGGGTCTGACCATGGTCATTGTGGGGGTCAGGGTGGTCTGTCCATTGTGTGGGGTTCAGGGGCATGGGGGTCTGTCCGTGGTGGGTGGAAGGTTCAGGGTGGGGGTCTGTCCATGGATTTGAGTGGTCAGGGTGGGGATCTGTCCCTGGTGTGGGGTTCAGGGTGGGGGTCTGACCATGGATATGAGGGGTCAGCGTGGGGGTCCCAGCCCCCCAGAGGCCAGGCCAGGGCTGTGACCCCGTGTCCCCCCCGTGTCCCCCCGTGTCCCCCCAGGGGTACTCGCGCAAGGCGGCCGCTCTGGAGTTCCTGCAGCGCCTGGAGGAGGCCAAGGCCACCTACGAGGAGGGGCTGGCCCGGGAGCCGGGCAATGAGCAGCTCCTGCAGGGCCTGCGCGGCGTGGAGGCCAGGCTGGCGGGTAGGGGGGCTCTGGGGGGGCTGGGGGGGGCTCCCTGCGATGGGTTTTGGGTGGTCTGGAGAGGTTTTGGGTGGCCCCAAAAGGTTTTGAGAGGCACAGAGAGTTTCAGGGTCCTGGGGAGGTTTTGGGGGTGCCTGGAATGGTTTTGGGTGGCCCTGAAAGGTTTTTGGTGGCCTGGAGAAGTTTTGGATGACCCAGAGAGGTTTTGGGTGGCCCCGGAATGTCTTGGGTGACCCTGAAGGTTTGGGATGGTCCAGAAAGGTTTTGGGTGACTCTGAAAGGTTTCAAATGGTCCTGGAAGATTTTGGGTGCCCTGGAAAAGTTTTGAGTGGCTTGGAGAGTTTTTGGCTGGCCCTGGAGAGGTTTTGTGTGATCCTGAAAGGTTTTGAGTGGCCCTGGAGAAGTTTTGGATGACCCAGAGAGGTTTTGGGTGGCCCTGAAAGGTTTTGGGTGACCCTGAAGGGTTTTGAGTGGCCTGGAGAGATTTTGGCTGGCCCTGGGGAGGTTTTGTATGACTCTGAAACTTTTTGGGTGGCCCTGAAAGATTTTGAGTAGTTTTGGGTGGTCCTGGAAGGTTTTGGGTGGTCCTGGAAGGTTTTGGGTGTCTCTGAATGGTTTTGGGTGGTCCTGGAAGATTTTGGGTAGCCCAGAAAGTTTCAGGGTCCCAGGCAGGTGGAGCAGGGCGAGTTTGGGGTGTCGAGAGCAGGATTTGAGCCTCCCTGAGATGGTTTTTTGGGGTACCTGAAATATTTTGAGTGGCCCGAAAGATTTCAGGTGACCCAGAGAGATTTAGGGTGGCCCTGGAATGTCTTGGGTGACCCTGAAAGGTTTGGGATGGTCCAGAAAGGTTTTGGGTGACTCTGAAAGGTTTCGAGTGGTCCTGGAAGATTTTGGGTGCCCTGGAAAAGTTTTGAGTGGCTTGGAGAGTTTTTGGCTGGCCCTGGAGAGGTTCTGTGTGACCCTGAAAGGTTTTGAGTGGCCCTGGAGAGGTTTGTGTGACCCTGAAAGGTTTTGAGTGGCCCTGGAGAGGTTTTGGGTGACCCAGAGAGGTTTTGTGTGACTCTGAAAGGTTTTGGTGGCTCAGAGAGTTTCAGGGTCCCGGGCAGGTGAAGAGAGGCGAATTTGGGGTGTCGGGGAGCCGGATTTGAGCCTCCCTGAGCGGATTTTTGGGGTGCCCGCCCCTCTGTGCCCCCGTTGCAGAGCGGAAGCTGCTGAACCCCTTCAGCGCCCCCGACCTGCTGGCCCGGCTGGAGGCCGACCCCCGAACCCGGGGGCTGCTGGGGGACCCCCGAGTACCGGCGGCTGCTGGAGACGCTGCGCAGCGACCCCGGCCAGCTGGGGGCGTCAGTGAGGGGCTGGGGGGCTCCGGGGGGCTGGGGAGGGGTTTGGGGGGTGTCAGTGAGGGGCTGGGGGGCTCCGGGGGGGCTGGGGAGGGGGTTTGGGGGGCTGGGGAGGGGGTTTGGGGGTGTCAGTGAGGGGGCTGGGGGGCTCCGGGGGGCTGGGGGAGGGGGTTTGGGGGGCTCTGGGGGGGCTGGGGAGGGGGTTTGGGGTGTCAGTGAGGGGTTTGGGGGGCTCCTGGGGGGCTGGAGAGGGTTTGGGGGGCTGGGGAGGGGTTTGGGGGGCTCTGGGGGGGCTGGGGAGGGGTTTGGGGGGCTGGGGGAGGGGGTTTGGGGGTGTCACTGAGGGGTCTGGGGGGGCTCTGGGGGGGGGGCTGGGGAGGGGTTTGAGAGGGGTTGGGAGGGGGTTTGGGGTCTCAAGAGGGGCAGAGAGGGGTTTGAGAGGGGTTTTGAGGGGGCTTTGAGGGCTGGGGAGGGGATTTTGGGGTGCAGCCCCCTCAAGGGAATTTTAGGACAGGAATTTTAGGATGGGGAATTTTGGGATGGGAATTTTGGGGTGCAGCCCCCTCGGGGGGAATTTTAGGATGGGGATTTTGAGGTTCAGCCCCCCCTCAGGGGGAATTTTGGGATGGGAATTTTGGGGTGGAGAATTTTGAGACGGGGATTTTGGGGTGGGGGATTTTGGGACGGGGATTTTGGGGTGCAGCCCCCCCCAAAGCCCCTGGTTGCCCCCTCCCCAGGAAGCTGCAGGACCCGCGGGTGATGACGACGCTGAGCGTGCTGCTGGGCGTGGAGCTGAGCGGGGCTGAGGAAGAGGAGGAGGCGCCTTCGCCGCCCCCCCCGCCCCCACCGCCCCCCTCGCAGCCCCCCCCGGCCGAGGAGCTCCCCCAGAACAAGCAGGAGGTGAGGGGGGGGGTCCCCCAAAACGGGGCTGGGGGGAGATTTGGGGGCGTTTAGGGGAATTTGGGGGGTGTTTAGGGGAATTTTGGAGGGTTCTAGGGCAGGTTTGGAGTGCTGGGGAGGGAGGGGGAATTTGGGGAGGGTCCCAAATTTGGGGGGCTCTAGGGCAGGTTTTGGGGTGCTGGGGAATTTGGGGAGGGTCCCAAATTTGGGGGGCTCTAGGGCAGGTTTTGGGGTGAGGGGCTGGGTTTTGGGGCATCTTCACAGTGGGAGAAAGAGCTGGGTCATTGGTGGGAGATATGAATGTGAAATTTGGGGTGATTTCAGCCGTTTTTGGGGTTCAGGCCCAGAATGAGAAGGAGCTGGGTCACTGCTGGGACGATCTGGGTGTGAAATTTGGGGGAATTCCAGCTGATTTTGGGGTCCTCTTTAAGATACAGCAGAAGAAGGGTCTGGGTCATTGGTGGGAGGATAGGAATGTGAAATTTGGGGTGATTTCAGCCATTTTTGGGGGTTCCCCTCAGGCCCAGAAGGAGAAGGAGCTGGGTCATTGGGGAGAGGATTCATGTGTGAAATTTGGGGTGATTCCAGCCGATTTTGGGGTGTCCCCCTGCATCGCTGGATGGGTCATGGTGGGATGATCTGGGTGTGAAATCTGGGGTGATTTCAGCTGTTTTTGGGGTTCAGGCCCAGAAGGAGAAGGAGCTGGGTCACTGCTGGGACGATCTGGGTGTGAAATTTGGGGGAATTCCAGCCGATTTTGGGGTGTCCCCCTGCATCACTGGATGGTCGTGGTGGGATGATCTGGGTGTGAAATCTGGGGTGATTCCATCCCTTTTTGGGGTTCAGGCCCAGAAGGAGAAGGAGCTGGGCAACGCCGCCTACAAGCGCAAGGAGTTCCCGGCGGCGCTGGAGCACTACACCCGCGCCGAGCAGCTCGACCCCACCAACATGACCTACGTCACCAACCAAGCAGGTCTGCCACCCCCAACCCCTCCCAAATCACCCCAAATCACCCCCCTGAACCCCAACTTTCCCCCTGAACCCCAAATTTCCCCCCAAACCCCAGCCGTGTACTTTGAGACGGGCGAGTACGAGCGGTGCCGGGCGCTGTGCGAGCGCGCCATCGAGGTGGGCCGGGAGAACCGCGAGGATTACAGGCAGATCGCCAAGTGAGTCCTGGGGGTTTTGGGGTCTCTGCTGTCCCCCCCCCAAACCCTCCTTGTCCCCCCCCAAACCATCCCTGTCCCCCCCCCAGGGCCTATGCGAGGATCGGGAACTCGTATTTCCGCGAGGAGCGCTACAAGGACGCCGTGCACTTCTACAACAAATCCCTGGCCGAGCACCGCACGCCGACGTGCTCAAGAAGTGCCAGCAGGTGACTTGGGGGGGGTTGGCATTGGTTTGGGGGGGTCCTGGGGGGTTTGGGAATGGTTTGGGGGATTTGGGGCTGGTTTAGGGAGTCCTGGCGGGTTTGGGACTGGTTTGGGGGATTTGGGGCTGGTTTTGAGGGTTCTGGGATGTTTGAGGGGTGTAAGAGGGTCCTAGGGCTTGGTTTGGGGGGTTTGGGACTGGTTTGGAGGGGTCTGGGGGCTTTGGACTGGTTTGAGGGTCCTGAGGGTTGGTTGGGGGCTTTGGGTCTGGTTTGGGCAGTTCTGGGGGGTTTGGGCTGGGGTGGGGAGTCTTGGGGGGTTTGGGAATGGTTTGGGGGGTTCTGGGGGCTGGTTTGGGGGGGGTTGGAAATGGTTTGAGGGGTTCTGGGGCTTTGGGACTGGTTTTGAGAGTCCTGGGTGTTGGTTTGGGGGCTTGGGACTGGTTTGGAGGGTCCTGGGATGTTTGAGGGGTGTAAGAGGGTCCTAGGGCTTGGGTTTGGGGGGGTTGGG